AGCCTCTAAGGACAGCCGCTAAGGGGGTTGGAGTGAGAAGCAACGATATGGTGATTAGAATGCCTTGTCTGCGGCATATTCGTCAATAATGCTGTCCTCTTAATCAGTACAAATCATCTCTCTTGATCTCGTCCAGACCTGCCTTTTGGGCATAAGCGCTAGGAGACGAGTCTCAATTCGGCAGCTCAATTAAATGTCGTGCCCCCGTCCCACAGCCAAGCGGTCTACGGGAGGAGTGTGGCGCAAGGGGAGCAGAGAAGGGACCGACCTCGAGGCAGCAGCAGGAGGAGAAAATCGCTTACTTCCTCTGGCCTGTTGTTGCGTTTGCTATGATATACAGAAAATTGCTTAAATCCGATGGCCCGAGTTAGTAGAGAATTAGCGCTAGCTTAGCGCCAGTTGGGGCTGGCAGTTTCAAGGAGCTTATGGAGCACTAAAGCGTAATACGTTTGTGTTTATCCCCTGCCCCTCTGTCACCACGTCTTAGATTGCTCAAAGCGACTCTTAATGAGTAGAGTGGAATGGGGCGGGAGTGGAGGCTTTGGGTTGTTCGAACGGATGATTTAGGATTCAGGGCTATCATCAGTCCGCCATAAACGTGACCTATTTAGTGTAGGTGAGGTTTAGCTCTTATGCATCCCATCGAATCTTGTCTCTTTCGCTTGGTCGTCGCCCACGCTAGTGGCAATCTGAAAATATCTATATACAAAATGAGAAATCATACAAATAGATAATTAACCATCTATGCCCGCGGTTAATCACTGAATATGGGAGAAATTGTTAGGTGGCCAAAACAGCAGAAGGGCGATTGCCAAAATGGAAATGAAGGGGAAAATCGAGAGTAAAGTAGAGGATAAGCCGTCTGTATTGTATGCTCTTGTACGCGGCAGACCAAGTGGGCATGCAGGCATATGGACGCATGTACATGTGGCCTACTTGTTTGCTTGAGTACTTCCGTGGTAGTGAAAAGCAATGGAGGAGAAGAAGCCTCCGAGCCCAAAGTATGAGTGCGTTGGAATGCAGACGAATGTGGGTATCCTGTTGAGAGAAGACTAAGCCGATTGCATTGCCTCCTCGTGTCTCGGCATTATCGCCGGCTATGGTATGTTTGCATGTATGATATGTATGTTCTCGGATGTACAGTCCTGCCTACAGTGGGCAGGCCGACGAAATGAGCATCTCGACTTGTGCAGACGTCGAGATTGGTTGAACAGCAAGGCCATGCTGGCGTGGCGTCTGCGCAGATTCATTTAAGACATTGAAAAAAATGATCTTCTGCGAGCCAACCGTTAGAAAGGAAGTGGCACTCGAGACTTGGCAACTGCATTGTAATGCCTTGCAGCTTGGAGGAATGGAGTAAAGTGCTCTACTTGGCAACGCATCGTTATATTGAGCAAATCGTTTCTCCGAAAGCAACCTCAGCTCTATCATTGAAGACAGGTTAACGGAGAAGAGCTGATAGAGGACCGAT